CAGTTAAGAAAATACCGGTGGTTTTTTTCAATAGCGTCACACAAGCAACATCTCATCGAGCTCAAGTCCCCACGCACTCATCACACGGGCTCAAAGTTAACATAATACACTCAGTGTGACGCCGACTGCTTAACGACAACATTGGTGGCAGGTTGCTTTGTCGGGCGATTGGTGAAAGGGGAGTATATGCAGTAACAAAAGCGTGTCCCATTACCGTTCGCACTTCGAGCGAAGCACGTAAACACGCGAAGCATTAGTTCCTGGATGGCCAGACATCGACTCGGTGGAATACGAGCCTCTGCGGCTCTCAACAGAACGAGAGGCAGACATAGTTCACGCGTAACCGTAATAATCGTCGACGGCAATATATATATATATGCGTGGCGAGAGTTTGCAAACGCGAGACCGCCTATACATATATACGTGCTCATACACAATACAAAGGTGCACTTCCTTTCGCAGGTAGCACCCACGCGAGGCGCCTCGTAATCGAAACGCGCACGTCAGCGGTGTGGGCACGCAAATGACAACGCGAAGCCCCGTGGCCTTACGCCGCTACGGGGCCGTACAAAACTGCCTCCGTACACGACCAACAGAGCGATCGACCGCGCCTGAGTGGATCGAGTTCTCACTTGTGCTCAGAACGCTTTTCGAGTTGAGCGCACAACTGGTCGAGCCAATGGAATAAACGAACAACTACCGGGCCACAAAGGGGAGCGACCGTGTGTCCAGGCCACGGCTGAGACAATGGCGCTCCAGGTGCGACTCATCGAGCGTGTGGTCAACCCGGGCGCCGATATACGCGGGCCTCCCCCACTTGTCCCCCAAGGCGTGACTGCTTCGGATCCAGTCAGTCTCTTTTTTTGACGGAAAGCCTCTTCGCCGCACGACATAAAAACAACCGCCACCACCTTCCGAGGATGTAGTAGTGGCACGCGAACGCGGCTGTGGCGTGAGCAACGCGTGCGCGAGTTGAATTCACCCCGCCCTCCTCCTCCTCCTCCTCCTCCTCCACCGTCTCTACGTGTGCCTGCGCACGAATAAAGCCCTACAGGCACACCGAACCGCGACACACGGGGGCGTCCCGCAGCCGGACGTGCAAAGAACGAGCGGCCCACCGGCGCTCGCTTATTGAAACGCCACGACCGCGGCGATATTGAAAGCGTCAAAATAAGGCAATTGAGGGCACGCCACCCGCCGTAGAAGAAAGTAAAGAAAAAAAACTAAATTAAAGGTCCCTACTGTTGACTCCTGAGCGCACGCGCCACGTGGTCTTGAACTTGAATGGGCGGTGGGCGGAGGAGCGGCGGCGGCCAATTGAAGACCGTTATATACGCGGCCGACCGTAAAATAATGTCGTCGTGCTCTGTTTGATGGCAATGGACGAGATCAAAATAGCGCGTCTGAGAATCTTCTGAAGGTTTTGTCGTACAGGTGGCAATTAGTTACGCATGCACCAAATGGGCAAGAAAACTCTAGCTGACAGGGGAGCCCTCCCCTCTCTTTCCACAGAGCGGCGTCTTAGCTCTAAGCGCCTATTATGAGGCTCGACGTACGAAGTGCACTTTACTATAAAGCTAAGTCAGTGCTTAAAACTGCCTCGTAAAAAAAAAGCTATAAAAATTTCATGTAATGGTAGGAGTCTCCTAAACAGACTTAACATTGCGTGCTAGAATGCTAAAATCGTACCAGGCATCAATACATGCTCACTGTGCCATGAGTGGGTATCTTAAAGCTGCGTAACTAATACAAAGTGTGCAGGTGCGCAAGTAGACGTGGCACTTTGCAACGCGTAGGGGCTATTTCGCCAACTTGCAAAATGAATAATGATGGCTGGGAACTTCCCAACTGTACTTGCAGTAGGCATTCTAGGATAGTTTGAAGCAGCCAATGTTACGCGCACAAATATTCATTTTCTTTTTCTTTTTTTTTTTTGCGGCCCGCTTGACAGCGATGCACACAGGGCCATGACTACGCTTTTGCATTTTGCTCTCGACAACGAAGCTCAAACGTCCTGCAACTTCTTAATAAAGCACAATTTCTTGCAACTTTTAGTGCGTTGTAAGTACAAGAAAAGCATGGTCGAAACGATATTCATTGTATTGTTTTCGCAATCACCTATACTCTTGAAAATAATAATAATAATAATAATAATAATAATAATAATAATAATAATAATAATAATAATAATAATAATAATAATAATAATAATAATAATAATAATAATAATAATAATAATAATAAATAAAGAACGGGGGGAGGGTAGGAACAAGAGAATCCAAACAATTTCCATGGCACTAAAGCAGTTCGCTCTGTATTCAACAATCAGTTTCTCGCTTATACTTTACGGTATCGTTTCTGATATGCATTTTTCTCTCGCTCAAGAAAAATCTTGCGCCATCTCTTAAATCACTCTCGTGCACAGAAAACATCTTGAAGAGGGAGAGGAAAGGGAGCAGAATGTACTCTTTCTTGAACAATAATTTAGCGTCCTTCGATGCTTCAGTATTTTTGTGCTGGTGTTGTTGTTCTCGTTTTCTCCTTTTTTTTTGCTACCATTTTTAGAGTGCTAAACGACGAAAACGACGACCCCCCGCTGAGTCCTTAAGTGAAAGCAGTCTCTATAATGGACGCTTCACGCAAAGCAGATTGTCCGTAAGCCGAACGAGGCGTTGGGAGGCGCTACTGTCACGAAGTGGGGCACGACGTGGCCTGTTGAGCCACAAGTCGACTGCCAAGGGAGACGAAAACAACCATTCTTTCGAGCCATTTTAGCTTCAATACCAAACGAAGACAACGAAGTCAACAAAAAAATGTGTCTCTTTCCCGGAAACTAGAGCCCTTTGTCAATTTGGTTCGCGCAAATTTTTATTTTATTGTATTTTTAGTGCTTAGAGAAAAGGCATTGGGCTCTTCAAGTGCAGCGACAAGTACGCCAAGGTAGTTAAAGACAGATTAAGCCTTTCTAAACTGACAGATTAGCTCTTTCGAGGATCCCTGTGGAACGTGGTAGGTAGAGAGGTTTTGCTTGAATGAGCAAATAACATCCCATGCACCTGCTTAAAGTTTGTTTGCAGCATTCATAACTGCAGTGCGTGGGGACGACATTGATTTCATCAAATATTTTACCGTTTAGCTCCTGTTTTATTTACTAGGAAAATACGCTTGCAAGACCCTTTGTAAACAAGACTGCGAATCATACGACTACCTTGGGCATTGACGGCGTACTAAGACATTCTAGAACAGTATTATTAACAGTAATCGTTGAGGTTGTGCGTCCCGGAACCCCGATATATATGATTAGGAGAGATGCCATCGCGGTAGGCTCCGGAAAGTTTGACCATCTGGTGTTTTTTTTTTAATGTGTGCCCATAAGTGTGCGCAAGGTTCCACTTCAGAGGAGGCGGGGGTGCGAAAGTTCAGCCCAGAGCCCCCCCCCCTCTCTATCATGTCCATGTGTGGGGCTAGCATTGCGACATCCTTCTCGCCCCCTCGTGCACACACCTATGCACGTGCCTAAATCTATTTACACATGTTTTCTACCATTTCGCCTTCATCAGAATGTAGTCGCTTCAATCGGGATTCAACACCGCGACCTTTGCAGTTGCAGTCGAGCACTGTAAGCACGAGACCAGCGTGCCAGGTAATTCTAATACACCACGCACTTCTGAGGAAGAGAAAAAAATATTAACGAGGAAGACAATAATAGTTATGGTTGCTAGGGTTTCACGTCTCAAAACGATATGATTGTGAGACAAGTCGTAGTGGAGGGCTCCGGAAATCGGGTAAAAAAGAGAGTCACGTAGAATGTAACGTCCGGTCATTGAAAGAATGTATGACATTTGCGATTTCCAAGAAGCTTGTTGGAAGTTAATTCTCATTTCCACTAATCGATTTACTTCTCACTCACTCATGCTCTCTAAAGGCTTTACTAACGATGGCTTAAGAAAATGTTCAAAAAAATATCACGATTGTGAACAGAGATGTGCTGTGCGTGTTTGTGCTTTGCCGCAACACTTTATGCTGTAAAGGCTACTTCTCCTCAGCAACAAGCTAAATGCAAAAAAGACGCCTTTACAAGAACACCTTTTGCGAAAAGGTTTGGGATGAATGAATATCCCTTGGAAACATTGCTTCGATTATTTCACAAAATTAGGTTGACTGTTACAAAATAAATTGACGGTATTTGGGTACGAATATTTCGCAATATTTCATTAAGTGAATGCTTTCGTGATCACGAATGCATAAATCTTTACAAAACTATTTTTATGATCGAAGTCTGAGTTCTTGCACATACGCTCGTATGTCCTTGCTCGCTTCATGTGCATGAACTAAGTGTTATAGTGAACTATGGCTACAAACTGCGTCTTACAGGCAGTGATGAAAGTATGAATGTTCTTCTGGTGAGGTTTTGTTCGTTATTACAAGAATTCGTACACCTATGGCAGCTCCCTCGTTACTATTTTTGTTAAATGTTGCGTATATTACTGCTCCTTGAATGATCTGGGCGGGTCACGGCACTTTTTCAGGCAAAAAAATTGCCTTCTTCTCCACCTTGCCTATTCGACCTACACATACGGTTAATTCGCAGTAACTTATTAAATTAACGCATCAATTGAAAATCAAAGGTGAAATTTTTATTCCATAAATATGGCGGATTTAGGCAGGAGTGATGGCGGGAGGAAGGGGGAGGGGGGGTCGCCGTGTCTTGGGATCAAACCCACGTGAAATTTATTTTTTCGTGAAATGCATTGCCATCCAAGAAAACTAAAGATTATGAAGCTGGCAGCTGAACGCAGCACGTCAAACTACCCATCGAACACGAAAGGGCCTACACGAAAGTGTTCGGCTACATTGCACCTAGATGTCGAGTCAAAACACGTTGACTATGCAGAGGTTCAATTCATCCCACGCACAATGTACCTTGCTCTATCTTGGTCACTGGTTCAAAGTGCTGGCGAAAACTAGGTACCTCCACATCTGTGGACATCACCCCTCCAGGGGCTGTACCACGGCAGGTGATACACTCAATTCTACAAATGGTTGTCCTCGCAGGCGATGCAGAGTGCCGTGGTTTCCGCCGCCGTCGGTGTGGTGGGAGGCGGGGGCGGCCGCGAACCCCTGTGCCGAGTGTGCGGAGACCGGGCGTCGGGGCGCCACTATGGCGTCGCCTCGTGCGACGGCTGCCGCGGTTTCTTCAAGCGCAGCGTCCGTCGCCAGCTGCAGTACGTGTGCAAAGAGGGCGGCACCTGCGTCGTCGACGTCGCCCGGCGCAACCAGTGCCAGGCGTGCCGCCTCGCAAAGTGCCTGCGTGCAGCCATGAGGCCCGAAGGCGAGTGATGTGTCCATCATATGTTTCAGTCTGCCGTGGCCACCGCGTGTGCTTGAAATACAAAGAGGTTTCTACTGAGGACAATGCAACGAACCATACTATGGGTGTAGCCTTAAGTGACAAGATGAGAGCACTGTAGCTCAGGGAGCACACAGTTGTTTAGGGCGCCGTCTTAGTCCAAATCAAGTAGGAACAAACGAGCGTGGACAGGGAATCTAGTGCGAGGGCAAGATATAACTGCTTGTTATTATAAGACTAACATACTGTATTCCAAGAGAAGGAAAGTGCGCGGGGGGGAGGCAGGAGTGGAGAGATGATATTAAAAAGTGTGCGCGGATAACATGACCGCAGAAAGCAAACCACCGAATCGATTGGCTAAACATGGAAGCGGCCTTTGATCTGCAGTGAACGCAGTCAGCCTAATGATGATGCTGAATTCGGGGTCACGTGAGCAGAGCAGGAGCTGTCACGTATGACGTCAATGCTGGAGTGGCATGTGGTTGCCGACCCTGGCTCTGGCAGTAGCGATGCCCGTAAAATGCGCACGGCGTAGATGGCGGGCCATCCGGTTACGGCGGCAAAGTGGTGACACTTGTGCTACGCCAGCCAGAAGCTCGCCTCCACTAAAGAGTTTTACGGCGGGGATAGGACATCGTATATACGTGACGTTGTGTGGTCACATGTCCCTCGAGCTGTTCAGGCGCTAGTAGATTCTCCTGTTAGGTAAGTGGTAAGAAATGGTTTACTGAACTTGAGCTAAATTACTCATCTTGCACCCACGGTAGTTGATGGAGCATGACCACACACTTGATCGGTTGCAGACGGCGGCGGTGCATGTGCGGCTGAAAATGATGTGGTGGTGTTTTATAAAGTGACGTCTAATTATCACTTGAGAGAGTCATGTCAATGAATGGCGGTTAGCTGCCCTTTACCAACGAAATACAGGTGGTAGAGATGCAGGGTAGCTTCTATGAGGCCGATAATCATCGTAAAATTGTAATGTATTGGAAATAGGTCGAGAAACGAAGTGGCCTTGTCCCACGAAGTAACTATTGCGAAGTAATTATCTGAAAGAAGCGTTAAAAAATACACTTAAATATGAGAGCTTTCGGAAGATATTAGTAAACCAGATCTAAGATCTCGAATCTACACAATGACTGTAAAAATACCTATAGTGGAAGGTTTCAAAATACGTTTACGAAATGTTTTTGGTTAATTTGTAATCATAATGTTGTACATCCTCGTCCTCAAAATTTCTTGTTTTGCATTTCGCGTCCGTCGAAATTAGACCGCGAAGGCTACGAATCTATTCTGTTTAGTTATTTCGTACGAAAATCATGAAATAACCGATAAGAGAGATGCCATAATTCTGAAACATAAAGGTTACAATGCTTAAATGTGCAGGGTATATTAAAAGAACAAGAGGTAACCTTCTCTATAGTAATCCAACTCAGTTTTAGTAGCGGATAAGGAAAACAGATTGTTACAAGTAGTATTAAAAAAAAGAAACTATTCTTTGTTGTGTACCACCCACCGCTGGATACAGGTCCATTGCGGCTTAAACGTACGAGTGAATCACCCACCAGATTCTTAGGCTTGAGTGAAAATGCGTTACTGTGAAACATTTTTACGGGGAGTAATTCCTTCAGTACTGCGGTAAGTCAGCACTGTCCGAGCTAACGCTGCACAGAGCGGACAGGATGGAAGGCCAACCGGCAGCTCCAGACCCAAAACAACAACGTTGTCATCTTTCTCCATCCGGTGTTTATTAGATGTTACTCCCCATGACAATATTAACTGGCCACAGGAAATAAGCGGGCACCTTGTACCCAACAAAAGGTTGACAACATAAACGCCTCATTTTCGTTCTTTTTTCATCTACGTGCGAATGTTCCGCGTCTGACATTTTGATACTTATAGCAAATATACTTTTGTTGTTTTGTTGAGACAGCGGCCGCCACTTACGGAATTTTTTTTTAAACTTATAGAGAAGCTCAGAGCGAGACTAAGGACCCAGCGCGCGCGGAGTGAAAGCGTCGCTGAGCTCGAAAAGCTGCGATCAGCGGGCCAAGAGCGGCCGGCGAATCCGCGACAGCTGGTCGGCCTCCCACGCCTGTCGCTGAAGCGGTGACATCGAGTAGCGGGCCGCGGAATCCTCGCAGAGCCCCCTTGACGGTCTCGGTTGAAGCACGGGGTCGAAAGGAGAAAGCTGCAGTCACGATTTCTGCGGGGCTGTGTACAGTCTCTCGAAAATCGCAAGATCTATGGACCGAAATATGACGTCTCTATACCTCACATCCGCACGAAGGCAGCAGGACGCCGAAATCCCTTTTTTACTGCGTTATCGACGTGTCTTTGACGACGCCCTGATGGCGTCGGTGACTCGCTTTAGTTGGGATGATTTACACTTTTAGTACACGCGACTGCTGCGTGAAGTGCTTTGGCTGGAGACTCCTTGCGCAGCGGTGGAACAGTGGCTACGCTGCTCTTCTGCTGACCCGATGGTCGGGTTAGCGTTTCGGTGCAGCCATTTAGGAGAGGTCTGTCGTACTTCGCGATGGCAGCTCATTAAAGAACACCGAAATTGAAAATTTCCGGAGCCCTCCACAAAAGCGTGTCTCATATCATAAGGATATGATAGTTTTGGCACGTAAAACGCCATATTATTATTATTATTATTATTATTATTATTATTATTATTATTATTATTATTATTATTAGTCATTTATTTATTTTTGCCTGCGCCCCTGCACAAAGACCTTATGGTTGTTACTGGGTGCGTTAAATAAAAGATTGATTGATTGATTGATTGATTGATTGATTGATTGATTGATTGATTATTAACATTAATACGGCCGACGTCTCTGGCGCGTTATTTGTGCCTCCACAAGCCGCATTGTATTTCCAATAGCAAGGCATGTGTTGTGCTCGCACTTGTTCGTCAAACATTGCTCGAAACATTTTTTTTTTTTACGTAAGATGAATAATGCTGAAAAAAATTTAGCAGGCATACAGAGAGGTGGCCATCAAAATCACGAGAGCAGCAGCTGTCATTTTGATGGGCACGCGTACGGGTGGGTGGCCGAGAGGGGGGGGGGGGCAAAGTTAAGCTTCATACATTGATATGATAGGGAAGGGGCACTGCGACGGACCTTAACCCCCCCCCCCCCCCCCTTCGAATGGGAACACTGCGCACGCTTATGGTCATTCGACAAGTAAAGATACAGACGACGTCAAAGTACCGCGTTGCACAGGGCACCTCGATACAGTGAAACCCGCGGTGCTGCTGTCATTGCACACATGCGGTTAGCGGGAGTTCGTTTCTCCGCACTTCAAGCCGGTATACTGGCGTGCAAGAATGCGTCTGCCATTGGCGCATTGCACGCAGGAGAGACCTCAACTTGATGTAGAAAGAAGTGCTAGCCGTAGGTTCATGCGAAAAGCATGAATCGTTGTTGTACTGAAGGAGAATAACTCCATGGTCCCTGACGAAGCGTAGTGGTCGTGGCTCGCAGCTTCCAAGCCCTGTGAACCCTGCTGTCACATTTCACCTGACTTCGCCTATACGTACAATCACATTGAGCTGTACGCAATCTCAGTGCATTTATTGAGTACTCGGCCGAGTCCGGGAATCAATGTCTCCGTAGTGGCGTCCAGCATGGGTGCCGCATCGAGTGCCCACACATCTACATATAATGTACAAGAATGGATTGTCTCGCTCGAGCCAGGCGGCTCAAATGATTCGACGTTATCAGTCATAGAGTTTCTTCATATACACTAGAGGGAACTCTGGCGCTAGTGTCTATGTGAGCTGCAACACACGGCGCTTCAGCGAGCATGGGAATGATGGGTAGTACACACATTTGTCTAATATTCGTACTTGTGGCCTGCTTCTGGCTCCGTGTGTGTTCGTGTGGCTTGAAGTTTTTTTTTTTTTCACGAAACCAATATTAGCAAACGTTCAGCGGTTGCGCTTCAGCGTCTTATTTTTTTTTAGACCTACCTTTTGAAATCGGGTCATGAAGTTCAAAAGGGTTGAATCTTTCTCTCAAAACAAAACCGAAACAGAGCAACAAACGAAGCCGCAAGTACGATTCGCCGTCAGCAAGTACGAAGAGTAGGCAAATGTGTGTACTACCAATCATTCCCATGGTCGCTGAACGATCGCAGCGCCAGAGTGCCCTCTAGTTAATTTTGAGAAACTCTATGTGATCAGTTGCGTTAGGAAAGACACTGGAGCAAAGAAAGTGTGAACCTGCATAACATAATTAACTTATACCGTCATAGTCCCTTCGTATAATGTTCACACCGAGGACTCGCCGTAGCATGGTTGCATGAAAAAGGAGGAAGAAGGAACCGCTCGGGTTTTGGTTAAACAGGTACCGCCCGGTTCTTGGCCGATCCCCCTTTGTTGGTATGTGCCAGAATTACAAGGATTGTAATCATCATCATAATCGTCGTCGTCATCATCATCATCATCGTCGTCGTCTTTCCATCATCCTCTCCAGCCCATTGACTACAATTGGCTGCAGTTGGCCGCCAGGGTAGTTAAATGTAATTAGAGTCAATGCTGAAGAGCTTGAGTCGCATTTAGAACTGAATGGCTATAGCCATTCAGTTCTGGTGTTTCTCTGGCGACAAGCCAGTTTACACCCTTAAGGGTGTAAAAAAATTTACTGTGTACTGAATACCTGGCCCACTGTCGAGAGAAAGTAAGCGATCCAATCTCATCACAATAACGAGCCGTATATGAACCACAGTAAACGAGGTAAGTCCACACGCAAAGAAGCGCCGCGTGAGATATACTCCAACCGCCGCCGCCATTGTACCAACAGATACGCCCCACGACGCGTGGCTGCAAGAGGAGCATCGGTCACGCGAACAAACAGCGCACCCGGCGGTGCGCAGCTATACAGGCGAGATCACGGACGCCGGAAAGGCGTCGCTGAACGGCGCGCCGATCTGGGCGGGGGACACGCGATCTCGTCGAGCGACCGCCGCTGTAATGG